CAGACGTGTTGGTGAAAGACGTTCTTTTGAAGTATGTGACAAACAATTTTTTGTGTGTAACTTATTCGGTATAGTAACGCAGCCAGCCAGCAGAGCTCAATTGCAATATGCCGCTGGTCACTGACGCGCTTTAATACCCCTGCCCCCCCCCCCCCCCTCCCCCTTCCCTCCCCCGCTATTCACTGTCCCGCCGACACCCCCGGGTGCCCTGCACCAAGCGGCCATCTCCGTCCCTGCAGGCACAGCTCGCTCTGCAGGCTCAGCCGTGGCCCACTGTGGCCGCGTGGGAGGGGTCCCATGGCAGAGAGCCACCTCCATGCGGCTGTAAAATGCATCAGCGCGGCGAACAGTGCTCGGGACTTGACCGAGCTTTCCCCAACTTTGGCCAGGAAATTTTGGCTGCGATAGGCTGCCAATAGAATTCGTGAAATCCGGACATGTGTCTGGGTCACAATAGATGCAGTGGCAGACCGCTGTTACGTGTATGTAGTATGTTTGAAAGTGGGATACCCTTGAAGTTCTAACCCGGCATATTGCATGCCTCCAGCTCAAGTAAGTTTGGCTCTGTCGAGGCACATATAAAGCAAGTTTGGTTTTGACGAAGTCAGTGTGGTTCACATCTAACAACACGGTATATTGACGCGAGCCGCGAATGGTTAATCGTGCAGAGAAAGGATGCAACAGATGTTCGTACATGCTGACGGAAGCAATGCAACAAACGACCAATATTACGAAGCGATGTTTCATCGGGATTTATGACCCGGACAGGGCACTGCAATTATTTACTTGTTCAGTCGCACCCGGCGAGCGGCAGGCACTGTTAGCGGGCATCGCTGACGACACTGGACGGGGTTATTGATCCCGACTCTCGGAGGATGTGGGCCCCTGGCCGGCCAGTGTCTGACCGATCCCTGGCCGGCGTCCCTGGAGAGCCCCAAAGCGTCCCTGGTTCCTGAGTCCCTAAGGCGTGCCGTCTTATCGTCCTTCCGGCGACGCCAGCCGAGGCCGGTCAGAGCCCGTTCGATCGTTGAGTACATGGTCAATGCTATCTTTCTTCCCAAGAAAATTAAAAGAAGACAGATGACAGGCCTGAACTCTTGCCCGCTCCATTCGGCGCATTGAAACCCTCACCCTGGTAGGGGGGGAGGTTTGCATCAAGCCCTCTAAAGTTGTCTAAGAATGCCTTTCTGGCATACTGAGTAACCGCGGCCACGTTTTAAACAGTCTTTGGGCATTTATTGCGCGCGTTGTGACATCAAAAACGTGACTTTGACATTCCTGGTTTGTGAGAAGCGACGGTTTTGTATGGGCACTGCACGGCGATCTACGGCCGGTGCGGGCGGCGGACGGCAAAAGACGAATCCACCGATCGTGCGAGCAGGGTCGACACTGCCATATCAATGGAGCGATGCCACAAAAGTGTGCGCTTAAACAAAACACATGCAAATGTGCTCAAAATAAAGAATACGGATGTTTAACTATCATCTTTCTAGGAAGCATGATGTCGTTTACACTGTTACGCAAAGCTGAAACAGTTGGCTTTCCGAAAAGTTTAATTTCCGCATGGCTTCGTGGAATTGTTTATCTCACGCCAAGCTGACCACCGTCAGGGAATCGTCGCGCCCAGCTGACCACCGTCAGGGAATCGTCGCGCCCAGCTGACCACCGTCAGGGAATCGTCGCGCCCAGCTGACCACCGTCAGGGAATCGTCGCGCCCAGCTGACCACCGTCAGGGAACCGTCACGCCAAGCTGACCACCGTCAGGGAATCGTCACGCCAAGCTGACCACCGTCAGGGAATCGTCACGCCAAGCTGACCACCGTCAGGGAATCGTCACGCCAAGCTGACCACCGTCAGGGAATCGTCACGCCAAGCTGACCACCGTCAGGGAACCGTCACGCCAAGCTGACCACCGTCAGCAAACCGTAGCGGCCGTCGCCGCAGCACATCCGGTGCCTTCCCTCTCACAGGACAGGTCAGACCCGCCAGTGCCCTGTCGCACCCGTCTGGCTGCGCACGTCGCCGCTCGAAGCTGTGGGGTCTGCAGCCACCGATATCGGACCCACATCACGTACGTGACGGGCATCCCGTCCAAAGGTCGGCGTCGCGGGCGTGACGCGACCGTCACCCGCGCTCGTCTGAGCCAGCGTCCCGCCGGACGGAGGACCCTCGCAGGACCGCGCCACCCGTGTCGCAGTGTCCCCTCGCGTTTGTCTCGAGTGAAAGGAGCGATGCATGGGAAACTTTATTGACAAGACACGTACCCACGTGTCATGGGCAGTTGAGAACATGGTGCTGAGAGATTTTCGCCTTGGGAACTGTATTCGTGATCCCCTGTAGCCGGCCAAAGTATGAGCACCGTTATTTGAGTGAGAACGTCCGAACACCTTATTGCGTGATGCCCATAAATTCATTATGTGCAGCCCGTGTACTCTTTCGGTAAATATGCAAAGGGAATTGGTGGAAATTTGTGGTTCTCACTCCAGCTCAAACTTCTAAAGGAACAAAGGCCTGTGTGTTCGATGCAGTCAAGGGTAAACAGCGTTCAACATCAGCTTGACATCAAACAACAGTAGTTCGATGACAAAATAACAAACACAGCCCCATACCACCCGCGCACTGTTTTCACCCGCAGCAATTCACATGTGGATCGACCTCTAAAACAGGTAAAAAAGAGACACGGGAAGGCTTGGTTCACACGCGATTTGAGGGCGGTGCGTGAGACATTTTGTCAAAGAAGTGTGCTATGACCTCTGGATAGCTCACATAGCTCACATGCAAATAAGTCGTCTAAGGAAATGCCACCCTTATTGAAGGGACTGTCTGCTCAAAATGTATGGCGCACTGGGCCATCAGTTCAGGAAAAGCACCGCGGGCGTCACGACGAGCGCGAGTCTAGGTCCGCTGGTGGTCGTCTGACGTTCACATGCGGACACATACGCTGGAATACCGGACCCACCCTGCCGTCCAGCTGGGACGACGCGCCAGCCATGCTCAGCCGGCCGGCCTATTTGACGGCCGCGCTGCCGCGTCATTAGCGCCACGCTGCGCCACTTTCCCCGCCGGCCCGCCGCCACGCGGCGAGTTCGTCACGCTGGGGTGCGATCAATCGGCGCTGACGACAAAAACGGCGCGGCTGGAGCGGCCATCACGAGGCGATCGCGCGGGCTGTCTTTGTCTGAAGGGGGAGGGGAGGGGTAGGGGGAGCGGCGCAACCATCCATCGACGCACTTCGGCCAACCCACTGTTTATTCGACGGCCAGCGTAGGGCTGCCAATTCAGTGAGATGTTATTGCGCTATATGCTGCGCCTCACTGGCTAAGACGGCTTCGGCCGCGGCTGCGGAGAATGAATCTATAGCTTTGAAGTCATGGATGACCTTAGAGGTTTGACTTATTGAGTGCTTTGCTTCCCCTAGCTGACGTCTCTCTGATGCACTGGGCAGCGATGCGTGAGATAGACCAAGAGCAGGGTTGGCTTGTGTACTGGAGGATGCTGCAAGCTGGATAGTATTTTACGATGAAGATGACGCAGTATTGCTATTACGCGTAAAAGCAGTGCCCAGAGACCATACGCCTAGCCATACGGATTTGATTGACCGAGCCCAGTCTGCCTTATAGCAATCTTAAATCCAAAGATGACACCGAAGCGATGCAGTCCTCCCGCAGCTTACCGAGGTCCAGACCACAGAAATGCCAAAATGGCTCTGCGCCTGGAAAGCATTGGGGACCATTGAAAGTTGGTCCAAAACGTCCTGACCTAGATCTCAAGGAAAATATAGTTTAGAAGCCCAGCAAGTGATACCACGTTTTGCTTAAGGAAGGCATGATTGTTAGCCCTAGGGATAGCCTTTAGGGCTACCGGTAGCCGTGGGAAGTATGCCCACTGAATCTGGGCGTGAAGCGTCTGTGTAAAAAGCAGCTAACTCTCTTAGTGTTCGCTCAGTATGGGACCTTGCTGGTGTCTTTACATTGCTGGAGTTATCACCGAATGCATCGCGAGCTGCTATCAAACTGTAACAAAGCCTGCAACTAGCGTGAATCACCACTTGACTATCAATGACTTAAGTTTGGAAATGTCTCGCCGGAGACTTTCGAACACAAACGCCACTTATGACTTGGCTCGTCAAATCGTCACCAAGGGGACAGTCTTCATTGACGAGATTTGACGACGAAATGACGATATTGATGACGAGATTGACTTCGAGAAGGAAGCCAAGTGGGCTCAGACGTCCAGAGCCCGAACCCGGAGCTCAGTACCTCGAAACTAAGTCATTCCCCATTTGGCATATATGACCCAGCGGTCAGACCCGGTCGAGTGTTCCACATTGAGCAGAGCGGAATTCGCCCCGGGCCGCGGCCCACGCGCGCCGCGTCGGCCGGCGCCGGTCTGCGTTTCGCTGAGCGTGCACCGGAGCAGCGCGTTGTCTTCTCTAATCGATGGCGACGATCGTCCGGCGAACCGATTACCGGCGGCGAAGCCGTTTGTCAAAATTACGTTCCGTTGTCTCAGGAGCGGCGACGGAGCGTGACAGGCGGCCGACGTTTACATCAGCGGGGCTGCTCGGTCAAAAGGTGGCCGCGGCTGGCGCGGACACGGCGGCTCACGCGGCTCGCCGGGCCGGCTTGAGCTCAGGCTCAGCGGTGATGAGCTCGAGGAGTCGCGAGAGGGCGAACGGATAGGACCTGCCCGCTGTTGGCTGGCTGTGCGGCTGCCAGCGGGGCTCGCTGCCAACACCAGTCCGAGGGATCCAGCCACCGGCTGCGCTCCCGGGAAGAGGCGCTGGCGTCACGAACGCCTCAAAAGGAATTCAAGTTCCAGCACGAGTCAATACGAGCCAATTGGCTTTATATGGGGTCTTTCACCTCATGTTTCTAGCGGCGTTTGCACATGTAAGTTGCTTCATGTGTCGCGACGGTCTGCATTATACATGGGTAACATCAACAACTGCATCCATATTACGAAAATACGTAAGACAACAAGGCAGCTGCATCCTTACCGTTGAGCACGTGAAGAATCACCTTGACCTGGGCCAGACCGTCCGGGTCACAGAAGTACTCCCCAGAGTCGGAGGGTAACGCCCTCTCTATGCTGAAGTAGCTGACGGTGCGGTCTCGCTCGTAGAACGTCCTGACCTTGACGCCCGCTCGAGCGCGGTCAAACTGCACCAGCTGGCGATCAGGAACCGACGATTTAGGGGTCTTCAGGTCAACGGAATGGGTGAGGGTGATGATTTTTTGTCAGTGTTACGATGGAAAGTACGTTGAACGTGTATGCATCTCACCTCCAATGTCTTTCTAGAAGGCGAGCAGCTAGCAGTGAGCAAACAATGCGTGAGCTATTTGCATGAGCAGATAAACAGGGAAACACATTTAGAGTTTACAAGAAAACACGAGATTGTGTAAAAATGTTGCATACGTGAACAAACACGTTCTGCATAGGCGTTCAATGCTCTTTGCACCACGGACCCTCGGTCGTCCCATCGGCGACCGCGCCTCCCATCGGTGACCGCGCCTCCCATCGGTGACCGCGATTTCCATCGGTGACCGAGTAGGTGTTGGCTGATGAAGGCCGCAGACGTAGGTGCAAAAACAAAATAAATATCCCTTGCACTTAGTTCCACAGCTTGCAGTACGCTCAGTCCATCAGCTGGACAAATGGTGAAGGCATTGGCGCTCCCTCGCCATCTGGCCGCGAACTGAGTTAGAACCATGACCCAAAAAAGCGGATTCTTGCCATTCGGCCGCGAACTGAGTTAGAACCATGACCCAAAAAAGCGGATTCTTGCCATTCGGCCGCGAACTGAGTTAGAACCGTGACTCCAAAAAGCGGGTACTCGTCATCCGGCCGCGAACTGAGTTAGAACAATAACCCCAAAAAGCGGTTAGCCTGATGTAATATTGGCAGAAATGATGCTTTTGTATGCCCCATGGTGGAACCCAACAAAGTTCAGCTTGCCTGTTTGGGTAAAACCGGTGTTTCTCCATGAAGTATCGCTTCGGATATTGAACTTTTTTCCTAGCGAAATAAACATGTATTGCTCTAAATCAGGCTTGTTATAAAGAATGCACCTGAGACAGGCCTGAAGTCAAGAGAGGAATCATGGATCATGAGCTTTGCTTGAATGGGTCATTGACCTATCAAGATTGGCATCAGTTGAAAAAAAACGTATCGTAAAATTATCGACAAGTATACTCAACGTCTTATTTTATCCAAATTTCATCCTCAAAGGTGGCATTCGCGGCCATTGCATGGCAAAAACGACGTTCGTATTAAAAACGCCTCTGCAAGCCTCCAGAGAAGGCGTTATAGCTCGGGACCTAACATGGTTTGAGCCAATCATTTTTTACGATACATATCTATATCTTTCAGTGTCCTTAGGAACGCCGCTTGAAGGTAAAAGCCATCAACCCATCCATCCTGGAACAACATCAATGAGCTTTTTGCCTTCCGTATCAAAACCACCGAGTTCCGGCTAAACAAACGATGCTATCAGCAAGCCGAGAGAATGGTCAGAGGATCATCTCTTCACTGCTGATTGCCAGCATCGAGCATTTCGAAGACACCGCGATAGAAAGAGCACAAATGGAACTCTCAGTATGGTTGCGATACGTCGACGACAATTTCGTCCTCTGGCGACACCACGAAGACGTGGCTGTATTCCGGGACCACATCAACAGCTTGCGACCATCGATCCGGTTCGCTATGGAACGCGAAGACAATAACAGGCCGCCGTTCCTAGACGTAAAGTCGAGAGAACCAACAACAGACTTAGAGCATGGGTGTGCCAGAAACCAGCAGCAGCCGATCGCCGCCAAAACTTCCAGTCACAGCACCCGGATACAGTAAAGTAAGGCATTGTTGGTTGCCTTCATCATCGCGCAAATGCCATCAGCGATGATAATGCGACCAGGAAGAGGGAAATCAACTCCCTATCCGATACGCTCTGCGGGGGCGGGTATCTGAAAGGCTTTATGGACCGGAAGCCCAAAGAGTATGCTTGATAAGCAGGGCAGCCAGAGTAAAGCCCAACAACAACGGTATCATTAGCATATGGCAAGAGCTTGCCAGAGAAGGTTAGAAGAATCCGTGAATGATACAATATAAGGCCAGTCTTCAGAAGCAGCTCCGGAAAACACTCACCAATGTCAGACCAACATCATCTTAAGAAGACACGACGAACTGCATATACGGTATACCACGCTTAGCTGTGTGAGGTCCTAAAACGGATAGACAAGTCGCCTTCTATCAGTATGAATGGACGAGCAGAGAAAGGCAACCATCCGGGATGAGACTCTGAAGTCCGGCATGGCAGATCACGCGTGGTCAGGCACCGATCATCCACTGACAGGAAGTGAGGTGACCATCATCGATGGAGAGCAACACTGGAAGGCTCGAAAGATCAAGGAGGCAGCACAGGTACCATTGGATAACAAATCCATCAGTACATTAATCATAGGCTATACCCGATATGGCTTTTAATTATACAGGAAAATCGCCCAGTATCCAGGAGATAAATGACACCAAGTTCCATAACGGAAAGACTGTGCTTTCCGGCTAACTCAGGTGGTAAAGTCCTGCACTCGCAATCAGAAGACGCTGGTTCGAATCCCAGCAACTCCAAGGGAGAATTCGGGCTGGGACGCGTATATGCCTGAAAGCCAGCTGTCATCAAGCCCTTCTCAGGATTTCAGAAACACTTGACGACGGCCGCAGAGTTAAATGGTCGAAACTTTGCGTGTATACTAACATGCTACATGAGGCCGCTAGTCTAGAGAAGTTCTCCGTCCGCAAAACTCATACCATGTCTCATCCTTTGTCAAAAAGGTACCTTGAAAGACAGCGGGCGTCTCACATTTCAATTATCATAGACTGCCTATAGTGACGAAATAGCTGAAGTAGTGCAAACTTTTCTGTTCCTGTGATACTTCAGAAGAACTTCAGAAGCGTCTTCCGTGTCATATCAGACGTATTATGCTGTGTCGTGTCAGACGTGTCTTCAGTTACAACAGAAGCGGATGACCCTCGCTTACGAGCAGGGGGGTCGCGGAGGCGCCCCCCCCCCCCTCCCTCCCCATGGTTTTACTGGAATATCTTCTGATCAAATTTGTGGACGTCGATGAGTAATTGTTTTACATGTTATCGAAGTTACGCTTTCTGGCTTTCACGGTTCATGGTTATGACATATTTTGCGAAGCCGTGCTGCCGACAATTTGCTCAAAAGTTGGGACGCTTTTTCCGCGCTGGAAATGTCCTCCAAAGAGAATTGGTCGACTAAAAATTGTACCTACATCACTATGAAATGCATCGCTGTCGTTTTGCTGGGTCTGTAAAAGACGTGCTATCCAAGGTGAAACTAGATGAAACTTTAACCTTTCAAACAACATTTGATCCTTTGAGGGTCTTAGGATTTAAGGTGTAATGAAGCATATCTTACAGATTTGAAAAGCTCTTCTGACAGTGTTCTCATTGATGTGGTTTGCTTAGTTGTTAATGGGTGGGCAATGCTTGGACGACCTCCACCCCTTCGATCTGACCTGGGCCGCCACAAGCAATGTATGTTAGTGCCTACCTAATTTTTCTGGTCATTCGTTTGTGCCTGTTTAATTTTTAATTAGATGAAGAATTTTACAAGAGTTATTCAGCTGTCTTTCACGTTGTCGCAGTACGCTTAGCTTTAGAGGTAACAGGAGATTCTATAAAGCAATGATTCGACGAACGTTACCTTCTTTGAGATGCTAAAGGTCGCAACCAACATTGTTCAGACATACATCTTTGATCATGTTTGACGAAAACTTTCCAGTACCATGTTTCCTGGGATTCTAGCTCACTTAGCTTTCGAGATTCTAGCGGGGCCTCTGAGCCCCATCTCCCCTCGTAGCGCGAGGGTGGAAAATCCCCTGTAGGTGAGGGTTAGTAGAAACTTAGTCGTGAAGAGTTCTGCCTGCGATGCACAATGCAGCAGAACAACGTGACCAAGCGGAAAGCGGGCAGAGACCCTTCATGTGAACAAACTCAGGGAAATAGTCAAGCATTTGTTATTGGCCTGAGGGGTTGACAACTAAGGACTTGTGCAGGGTACATAGGACTAAATAATTAATTTGATAAGGTTCCCTAGGAAGGCATCAGGCATCATTTAGTTATTTTCAGTGTTTTTTTTTTCGATCGCTGTATAGTTGGTGAGCATTAGTAAAGCTTAGTGGGCCTTATAGTTAGAGCGTATGGCAAATTGTGGCGCATTTTTTACAGTAACAGGAATTTATTGGTTCTGACAAAAAATCAAAGCTGTAAATGCGCCCTGCTGGATTTCGCGGCTAGACAAGAACATGCTAATGCATGGGCTATAACCACAGGCTCTAATGACAGCCGCAACACCATCACATGCGGCTATTAGCCACCGGCACATTGACCCCTTGTTGAAACAGAACTGATTTGTCTCGCTCTAAAGCCTGCCGCCACCGCATACACATTCCTCTCTGTACTTGTGTTGCCTCTTCTCGAAACTGTCTTGATATTTTGCTGTTGTTATGTCTCGAGACAAAGCAACTAGAGCGGTGTCAAATCCACACTTAAGTCTGTTAGCTGTTTACAAAATGACTGTCATTTGTCCGGCGCCGTGTGCCTTAGCGTCACTCTATTTGTATGCAGACTGCCGCAATTCGTATGTTAATTCTTCACTGACTCCTCTCGAGCCTCCGAATGGGAGGCAAAGGACAATTTAGCGACTAAATCCAGATTTAACACAAGGGCACCACACACGCCACTATTTTAAAACATTTTGCATATAATCAATAGATACTTCAGCGATGGCTTGACGGAGTGGGTTTAGGTGTTCCTTCACGAGTGTAATACTGGTGGCCGCTGGAATAACGAAGAATAGGAGGAGGAAAAAGATAGGGAAACCGGAATTTGTCTCCCGATAGCAACAATAATTCGCAGTTGATACCAAAACATTTTTGAGGCATATTTCTGTTTTTATATATTGCTTTGAGCGTTCGGGAAGTTCAGCTTTGATACTGCAGTGCACTAACATTCTCGACAGCATAAGACGTTAAAACAGCTTTGCATACCTCATCAAATTATCACCCTAGTCAATTCACAGGTCGAAGCTAGTTAAGACGAAACTATTTCTACATATGGCATTAAAGTGTAAACTTCCTGATTCATCAGACCACTGAGCTACCACGTCTTTCTTTGCCAGACTTATGCAAAGCAAAAATGTAGGGTATCGGGTATCCTATGCATTTATTACACTGCTAGTAGCTCTCTAAGCGACTTTGAAGGTGCAAGTTAGCTATGTAGCAAACACGAGATATGTTGGTGATCATTTCGAATGTGAATCACGGCGAAGGACACAAAATGTCTCAAACTGGCATACAGCCAGGCCGCACGACCGTCAGCCGGTAGCAAATAACGACTCGAAAGAACGAATGGCGTCTGTGGTGACCTTAGTCATTCAAGATCAACCAAGTCAAGCCAACACACATAGATAAACCGAGAAAATAAAGGTGAACTTCAAGCCAGCACCCACTTCGCTTATTCAGAAGGCAAGCCAAGACGTTTTGGATTTATCAGCTCGCCAGGGAAGCTGAGTCGGAAGAACCGCGTCCGTCGCCGGTCAGATCCTTTAAAATGCATCATGCCATAACGCTTTTCTCCGTTTGAATGTCGGATGAGAAATGTCGTCGTCAGTTTTGAAGACTTCAGAAGTGGCCTAATTATGCTTGGTTGAATAAAAATACGGAAGGTAGACGGAAAGGAATGCCTCTCCAACTTGCCCCCGGGGGCAGTTGGAGAGCATGTAAATTGCAACGCGAACTTTGGAGCAAGTTCGCGGGATTTGCCGATGGCTTATATGAAAATTGGCGGCATAAACGCAGTTCTAATAAAGTTGAGGAACTGAATAAAACTGCAGTGTTGCAAGTAAACAAGCAAACAGCGGCTATTCAGCAAATATCTGCGTTTCCAAGAGCTTGGGCTCACACAATTCGGCGACGTAGACAACTAAACGTAAATGCTTCTTCGTCATCGTGATGATGGTCACGGCTATGGGTTAGGTTTAGGACACGACAGTTCGCCCCACAAACTATATCGGTGTCGAGTTTGAATGACAGATTACTGGGCCGACTGATCAGGATCATAATAAAGCAGCGCGACAAGGGGAGGCGCGCTATTCATATTACGTCGCAAAAAGGGTCACGTCAGCGGAGCGAAGCTAACTGGAAAAGGTTCCACAGTCCACGTGGTTAGAAAAAAAAATGTGGCGAAAAAGAGCACGCCCGTTAACATTCGGTCACAATATGAGACGACTGTGAGCAGACACCATCACAGTGACTTCTCTTCCTGGGCAGATTTCCCCAAGTTCACCTCCAGAAGCTGGGCGTTTCTGTTCTAATTTGGTTGGCTCGCTGAAATGAACCGGGTGGGGTCCCGGTATGCTGTCCTGCAGCGTCGTGACGTACTGCGGTACAGTGTGGCATCGTAGAGCTCGGTAGGCTGTTCCGCAGAGCACCCATCAGCTGAGGTGGTGGATGACGGTAAGGACGCCTACTTCAGAAGCAAGAAAGTAGCGTTGATGGTCAATGCTTACATGAAAAAGCTAAGGCCCGGTGCTATAGGAGTGGTTCTAGAAGACGTCTTTCTGCCATTACCAAAGAACTTGTCACAAAATGGTGTATCCGGCCTCAAATGTTTGCACTTGATAAATTGTTTGAATAAATGTTGTTTCGGTTTGCAGAGTATATCACGATTTTTGATTGATGGGAAAGAACTGTGATTTATTAGTCGTGAAACTGAAATGGTTTCTGCATAGTTATATGAGGTGTTTTACGAACAGATATCTATGACTGAAGTTGCCAGCCGCTAAGCATCGGCTTACGTCCTCTTTCATTCAATTTCTCACAATAAGGCGTATCACATATTTCACTGCGCGATTATTTATTTAGCTTATTAGACCGCCATCATCGTGGGCAATAGAAGTCACTTAGAATGCACTCACATGTGCAGCACGTCTCGTTTGCTTTTAACTTGATAGAAAAGACGTTACCAATCATATAAACCAGGAACATTGGTTGCCTCCTGGCGAGTCAGAGCGTGTTAACCATCTCGCAAGATGAATTTATCGCAATTTTGGCACGTAAGTTGCCACCACATGTTGCTGCCTCAAACATCTCGAATGCGGTTTTACACGCGTAAGATGGTTTACATGCTGGCGGTGCTACACAGTTGCGTGTAACTTATAGGCATTTATTCCTGGGCAAAACGATTTCACTCTTGTTCATCTGTTCCGTGCTTGCGTTGCTACACATCGCTAGCCAAGAATGATATATGCGACAGAGAGTGCAATAACTGCAACAGCATTTTCAAACAAAAAGCAATAGCAACAGCAATCGCAAAAAATGTTGTGTTGTTAAGACATCGCTGGCACAGGGTGCGGGCCGATGCTGCACTTTGAAATTTGGAAGACATTTACCAAACCGCACGGAGCACTCTATCAAAATGAAACTACGTTGATGATATGGCCATTCATATCTGAACTGCAAATTGATTCCGTCCCGCCATGCTATATCATTTATCTGCAAGCAGTTTTCAAATTCCGTGCGGCGAACATGTGGAGAGACGTTGGCTCGCAATGCTTTCTTAAATACATTTTCACGTCTTCCCTTGTGCTTCAGTGCTGATGCAAATGTCATTGAAAGTCGATGCCACCCCAGATCATGCCTTAAAAATAGACCAAACAAATAAGCATACAGAAGGTATGCCACAGTGAGTCCATATCATCGTCACACGTGAATATTGATCATTCAATGTCAAGTTTACGCCAGGTTATGCAATGTCTTCTGGGGATCTCACACCATCTGCTGAAAGTGAACGTCGATGTGCTGTGACTTGAATCATCTTTGTTTATAGGCATTTGGAAAGTTCGGTGAGGTCAGCAAAACAAGCGTTGGACTACGCTTGAGGCAAACTTACGTCAACCATTTGAAATATCGAAGATTATCTTAACAAATGATGTAGATCATGTGCGGGACTACCATCGCGGTTCTGCCCTTTTGGTTATTTGCAGCGGTGCATCGGGTGTAAACTCAACAACAGGCCGCATTAGAAGTCCGCACCAAGATGGCGAAATACTGAGTGTCATCTAGGGTTAAGGCTGATGTGTACGGAAAATTTTTAGAAGAGCCGACTGGTAAAAACATTTTCCAACGCCCGTATCACTTACGCCTTATACACATGCACACTCACCCACACCCACACACACAAACACCCACACCCACACCCACACACCCACCCCCACACACCCCCACACACCCACACCCACACCCACACCCACACCCACACCCACACCCACACCCCCACACCCCACACCCCACACCCCCACACACATACACACACATTTATATATATATATATATATATATATATATATATATATGGGGTACTCATCATCGACTAAACAGCCGTCTTTACTCAAACGGAACGGTAATTTTGGGCAGTTAGGGTCTCAATCGACTACACATTACGAGCCAGTCGAGACACCATTGGGCCACATTTACCAAACGCAACATGACCTCCAGACTGAGTGGAATGAGGGTGCCCACTCAGACCTTGTGGCCCGATTAGCTGCAGTTGGGTATGACACGCCCGGAAAGTGTGCTCTCTCACTGAGACGCGGAATAACCCTTATGTCGCTTGGTGGGGCGTGGGCAAGCTCTGTTGATGCAGCAGTTTAAAAGCCCATTCAACTCAACGGGGGGAGATGAGTGTCTTGGGAGGGGACGACCAGCTGCGAGAATGTCTTGGGAAGCGACGACCGGAGAAAGCCACAAATCTGACGAGGCAAGTCATCAATAGCTTACGCAACGCTTGGACAACAGCCGACATTACAGCACGTGCACATTATCTTCGCGTGATGTAGCTTTGTCTGAGTATTTAGCATAAAAGCGCATATCTCTTCACTGTGGCGATAGAAGTATGATCCAGTGCAAATCGACGTGTCCTTGACTGACCTTATTGTCATGCGTCCACCGGACATTGTCTGGAACTCTGTGCGCATTCCGGATGATGCACGTGAGGTTAGCCGTGCTTCCCCTATTAATGAAGAGCTCGGGACCACCGACGATCTCCACTTTGGGGTCTGAAAAATAGGCACGTGTCAAATTGCATTTATGTCACATTTTGGGGGCACCACTGCCAGCGGGTATCACAAGTGGTATTGCTTCTTTCAAGAACTACTTTCAAGATCTCAGGAATCGCTCAGTGGATCATGATCCCGCTTTGTGTAGTTAATTTTAGACACCAGTTACAAGTTATGAATGCGTATGTATGTGCACCTCATGTTTAAATTGATCTGCTACGTTTACTCACTCTGCTAGTGGAGTGCTGCGAACTGGTTGCGAAATGACACAGGCGTGCTTTTAAGTGGCCAGACGTATTTCTGACCGTGGTGGCCCTGAGTAATGCAACGATTCCCCGCCTGATCACGGTTCAGCATCCCCATCAGTAACCCATCGCTCTTTAAAGAAAGCTCTACCTCTCTCTGGCTCTAATCTAATTCTCGAGGCGATTTCGTAAGCATGAGGATGGAAATCCGTTTCATGACTACGTACTACCTTCACTTAATCTCACTCCTCGCGCACGTAAAGCTTTCACTAAATCTCCTTAAGCCATCGCCCGGAGCGGCATTTGCGATAAAGGCAGGGCTCAATTGGCCGGCGAGACGGCCGAGTGGTCAATCTGCCGGGCCTGGTCTCCATTGCCAGCCCACTAAATCATCCCTTCTGTCATCCATAGCGGTCGGTGTACGGCCGGAAACGACGGCAAATAGCGCTTAATATCAAAGCCGGAATGCAATTTCGTCGGCCATTCTTTTTAGGGGAGCTCCTTCAATGCAAGGGCTTTGTTCCCCGCACGAGACACAAATACAGATTATGTGCGGTAGCAGAGGGCCAAGCCAGGCAAGGTTGTGTGAAAAACCTCTCCACGTGGTCTCCGAAAACGTCTCTGCATCCACGATCTTACAAACAAGACAGCTTTTTATGGAGGTACACCTTATAAAATGCTCAAAATAATGAACACAAGTTGCGAAATAAAAATGCCTTTGCAACCAACAGAAACATTAGGTTGATTTGGACAAAAAATATTTACATGCACTTTATTGTGATCCTATCGACCTTATTATTTACTCTATGTTACCATTTCCGGAGTGCTGCATAACCGTCGCCACAAGAAGTGACGTCATCAGAACCATCGCCACAGAACAGTGACGTAACCAGAGCCATCGCTACAGGACCGTGACGTCACCGGCAACACGCGGGCTGATATCAATTGCCGGCTTGGTGGGTAAGGCTGGCGACACAAATATGCATTTTACGTGCCGCTTGGTGCCAAAAAATGTTTTCAACCGAAAGTTTGTGTGACGGCTACGAAAGAATGCTTCTGTATTCTTTCGTAGCCGCATTCTAAGCGCGCATTCCACAACTGTACATGGAGCTTCAATGGTTGAACATTTAATCTCACAACATCAGCAAGGCTTTTTGTACAGACCCTTAATCGCACTCTGCGGCCCCATGGTGTCATTCTTAGGCGCAATCCCAGCTCGACGACAAAAATATCCTATAATATCTAGTTGCTCGCTCACTTTGGTGACAGGTCGGCGACAAATCAGCATACTTCCTTTGGCCCGGACGGTGGGCCGATTCGCTGTTCTTACCAGCCGACTCTCATTGTTCCAAAAAAGACAGCAGAAAATACCGATTAACATCTAGATGTGGCGATTCATTTGGCCGCAAGGCCATGTTTCAATGGTTGCGGTGCAACTGAGATGAATGTGAGGTTGGTGGTGACATTCAATGCAGTGGGGCTTTGGAAGCCGCATTCGCATCGAAATTTCATGAATACCTTCCTAGGTCGAATGTTCGGGCCTTGTTGACTTAATTGATCGGCAGTCCAGGAAAAGTCGGCCAGATGATTCGTTCAAGGTATAAATTGATATGTGATTATTCAGGCCGCCTTTTCAAGACACAGAAAAGCAACCGAAATGGCTGTTTATTCACAGCACAGAAAAGTGACAGAAGAAACTGTTGACTCACCCTGGCAGTCGTAAGCACCTAGCCTTCCTTCGTTTGAAGAGAACCGCAGGTTCGGTGCTGACAGGAAATGACGGATGAGAATGCTTCTGAAGTGCCAAGCGATTCCATGGGTGCTCCGTTCCTGAATGAGCATGGCTACTACTAAAAATATTTAAATAAGGGTTGGTACCTGATTCCTAATCACTTGAGCCCTACAGCTCTCATGTTTATAAAGAAGCAAGTCAGATCTGGAAAGACAGAAATATTTTGGAGGAAGATGACATGTTTTCACTGCTCAGACACCCCACACGTATTTTTGAAGACCATGCCTCTGCTTGGAATGAAATCATTCAATTAATGATTTGTTAGAATTGTAGTGACAATTCCAAATCCAAGGTAAACCTTTTCTCGGTATTAATCTTGGCTGCTGGAAACTGATGCGATAGCCAATGATGCATGCAACGAGGGGTAAGGAATAAGGTGGTGTGAGAAATGAAGGCGATGATATGGGGGGGGGGGGGGCAGACGTTCCATTGCCATCGCCCGCTCACCCAAGACGTTTTCTTGAAATAGGAGATGATTTGGGGAGGGATTTTGGTCCCATTTCCAAATAGGCTCAGTCGAAATTGGCATTTGGTTATCTCTGTGAACAATTTTGGCTATTTGCTGATAATAGTGCTCCTGTTGTTTGTAACAGGAAATACCCTGAAAATGAGTCACCCTGCAGTCCTCATTCATATGCCTAAGTTGTTGGCATCTATGGGCATATTTGCATAAATGTAAATGTAATATGCCTTATAAGTGTTTTTGCTATCACTGACGTGAAACAGCTTCTGATACAACTCCCAATATGGCCACTATTCATATGAAGTGCAGGTTGTGAGAGCAGACGGTCTGACTTAAATGGAACCCACACTGGTAGAAGAAAACAAGATTGTTTGTCTGGTTGTGGCATCATACAAGAGGATGTCAATTTGTATTCATGATAAAGGAGAAAAGCAAGCCATGAGCCTCATAAAAATGCCTCCCCTAAATCTGTTGGTCAATACATTTAGTCCGCATTGTTTTGATCGCAGGTAAATTCTATTCTTGAATATTTTATATTCTATTTAACACTTTTATTTGAGCAGTAATGTGGTCATGGCCAGCGGATGAATCCTAGAAAAGATAGGCTTTGTGTTCCAGTCTCTAACTACTCATGTTTCGTAATCTCCCTAGTTGAAGTATTCGAGGGAGGAATCAGCATTGAGGGCGCCCAAATCAGGCTGAAACGGAAAGGCCAGCTGGCAACTGGCCAACGAGGCTCAACCCAGACCCGAGGCGGCCGTGTCGCAGCATTGCGCGGCACGTAAATCCCTCCGCATTCCTGTCTGGCGAAAGGGCGGAGGCAAAATTAGCTGTTGAACTGGACGGCACGCTTGGGTGGTGGGTTCGGGGTACACGCAACAAGCCGTGCTTAGCAGGTACTCTGAATCCGAAGGCACCCATGCAAACCATTTGGAAAAAAATTATGGATAAAAAACAACAAAACGAGATCTTACGTGGTGTAATAGGTTGTATGTGACTACTTGACTCTGCTAGACTAAGTAAATTACAACATGTTCCTGAAAATCAGACTTCTTTAGCTTTGTGTGTTCATATGTACAAAGCTATGCTGCGTAGCAATATGGAATATAACAATTGTATTTCTCGTTTAATTTTAAGTATAACAGCACGTAGTTCGATCTGTTTTCAGCTTTCCTCCAAAACAGCGCGCTGGTTTTGCTCCGTGCGGCGTCAATAAAAAGGTCCGTGCTAAATGAGAAGAGTCCATCCTCTACCTATTCACTAGGTTTCATTTGGTTACCCAGAGGCCCCTGCTAAATAGCAAGCAGATAGCAAATCCAACCGTAGATAAAACTTATACGTCAGGCCGTGGCAAGTCTAGATGGTGGAAGAAGACTGCTTTTGTGATTGTGCTAACCCCCTGTCTAGGGCCGATGTGCCTGCATTCTTCGCAGAAGCAGTTATTTTGGAGTTATTTCAATGACATAACATAACTGCTGTTGTTTGCATGATATTGCAACTTGCAGTGGTAGCAAATGATTTCGGTGACGCGTCGATTCCTGATGACGCTGCTGGGCATGGACGTCATTGCCATTTCAAGCCGTGTGGGATCGCGTTACGCCGCTGGCGACAATTTTCCCGTAGGAATTTGATCGGCTGCAAAAAGACGCGTTCATCACCCCCGAACGTCTGAAACGAGGGCAGATTAAAACCAGACCATATACGACCCAACACGAGAGTCGATTGAAATTGAGCCTCTTCGCTCATCTCTTTCCTGGCGTTGGACCCCAGACTGCTGATTTTTCTCCTGTACGTCACGTAAAACAATAAATATTGCACAGCAATCATTTGCGTATGCGTAAAATCATTGCGTATGCGCTGACCTGTCTTATTATTTACTAATTTAAATGGCTTTCGTCGTGGTTTGGGGCTTAACTGCATGCTGATCTCACATCGGAAATGTAAAAGCAACTATTCAAACGGTTTAATAGTCTTTTACGTAAGCTGCCGGATTTCCTCCGGATCTTTAAAGTTACGGCAATGACTGACTTGCCGGTTTGGGTTTAACAAAATAAAACCAGATAGCCATTGCCACACATCCTTCAGATGAACACAGAATGAAGCCGGTCTATGTCAGAATACCCCCCCCCCCTTCGCTTTTTACGGCTAGTTTATGGTCATCCGGGGTCATTATAGTGAAATTTCATTGATGTGCCTCAGGATGGCGGTGCATATTGGACGTTCCTGTTTGCCCCTTGCACCCTTACATGGTTTTGCCACCATTGGCAGCGTATGACGATGACGAAAAATATTGATACCACTATTCACACAAATTTCCATATTTTGAGGTGCGTTTTAACATGTCAGCAAGGTGCCAGGGTTAGTTATTTTTCCAGCATGCCTGTACTTGTGATTTAAGACATGACAATATCGTGGCTAATTAAGCTTAAACGTCAAGGTTTGATCTTTATGCTCCTGTGATCCTGAACAACCATTAGGGGGTTACAGGTTTGATGGCGTT